CAGAAGGGGGTGTTGCTGTGAATACTGTGAATTCTTTGAGGTGAGTGATTTATTCTGCATAATGATTGCAATGGTTGTTTCATGAGAATATATATTGGTTAAAATTCATTAATGTGTACTTAAAGAACTTTATGTGTAAATTATGTCTCAACAAGGCTGACTTTTCCATTTTTATTATTTGTATTCGTGAGAGGGAAGATTCTGGAAAGGATGGATTTATACCCATATTTGTAGGGCACTGGTCTCTCACATTGCTCAGTGGGAAAGAGAAAAGAGTCTCCTACTTTAGGGCTTCCTTCAAGTGTGCAAGCCCATAGTGAGCTGACCATCATCTGATGTGTGGTAAACATCTGGCTCACCTATCTAGCAGACACACTCCTCCATGAAATTTAGAAGAGTCCAGACAGATCATGTTTATCTCAGTACTATTTGGTTATAGTTTGAGTGTCCCTGAAAGTTGTTTGTTGGGAGTTTGGCAAGGAATTTTGTTGTTGGTCATGGGGCTTGAAATCAGGGCCTCTGGGTGCTGTCCCTGAGCTCTTTTGCTCAAGGCTAGCACTCTACCACTTTGAGCCACGGCACCACTTCTGGTTTTTGGAGATCAGAGTTTTACCAGGACTTTTCTGGCCAGGCTGACTTCAAATCGCGATCCTCAGATCTCAGGCTCCTGAGTAGCTAGGGTTACAGGTGTGAACCACTGGCGCTCAGCTGGCAAGGAACTTTTAACAAGTGAAACCCAGCAGCAAATCCTTAAGCCATAGTGAGGGCTGCCTTCAAAAGTAAGAGACTTCCATCTGTAAAGCAAACTAAAGCAAAGGGCTAGAAGTATGGCTTCAGTCCTGAGCAAGGTCCTAAGCAGTTTTCCAACCATTCATAATTCCTCTCTCCCACACACAGGAGTCTCTCAGCCAGACCTTTCTTGGCTTCCATACTTAGACATAACTGACCCTTTCCTTGTCCCATTGCCTATCTCTGCCTTCTAGGGCTGTCCCTGAGTTTAGGGCCTATGAGTCATGACTCTGGTAACAGCTTTCATCTTCCAGAGCCTTCCAAAGCCTCCTGGAGGCAGGCTGGCATGGGAGGAAGATGTCTCAGGGAAAGAAATTCTCAAAATTTCTTAAAACTGGCCAGAGAGATGAATTTAGAGTAAAAACTGGATGTTAGCCCAACTGGGCTTCTAACTTGCTATGTTACTTCAGGTTGTAGATTGATGGCACAGGATTAAAGGCTTTCCTGCAGCGGGCTTGGGCCATCTCCTTGGAAACTACAGAAGGAGAGAAGAGCTGGTCCCTGGGCCCTGTCTCTCCCCATTCAGATTAACCCCATTAGTGTATGCTCTCCACTGAGCATCCTTATAAGATCCTTGTTCTAGCATCCGTTTCTTGAGAAGCTGAGTTTGGGTAGCAAGCAGCATGCGTGCTGAGTGGGTACAGGGGTACAGTGGCCAGGAAGCCGGGAGGGAATTGGGGCAGTGAGGTGAAGGAGAAGAATCTTGTGACTTGCTTCTGCTTTGGCTGAATATGCAGAACTTGTGTGTGGTTCTCCCCCCCCCCATCTCTCTCTTTCAGTGCTGGAGTTTGAACCCAGGGCCTTGTACTCATTAGGCAAGGGCTGAACCACTGAATGACATCTCCAGTTCTTGTAGAATAATATTCCTCCTCCTCCTCCTCCTCCTCCTCCTCCTCCTCCTCCTCCTCCTCCTCCTCCATTTTCTTCTCTGGTCCTCTGGCCCTCAGGGCCTGGGCGCTGTCCTGGAGCTTCTTTTGCTCAAGTGTAGCATTCTATCAATTGAGCCACAGCGCTACTTCCAGCCTTTTCTGCTTATGTGGTACTGAGGAATCAAACCCAGTGCTTCATGCATGCTAGGCAAGCACTCTACCACTAAGCCACATTCTCAGCCTGTGGGATCTTCTTTAAAGAAAATGTGACTCGGGCTGGGAAGGTGGCTCAGTGGTAGAGTGCTTGCCTTGCATGCACAAGGCCTTGAGTTCGATTCCTCAGTACCACATAAGCAGAAAAATCCGGAAGCGGTGCTGTGACTCAAGTGGTAGAGTGCTAGCCTTGAGCTGAAGAGCGGAGGGACAGAGCCCAGGCCTAGAGTTCAGGCCCCACAACTGACCAAAGGAGAAAAAAAAAAGAAAAGAAAGTGTGACTCAACTTCAGAAGCATAGGACAGTCTTTTCAGAAAGAGGAACAAAGAATTTGTCCCCCAGCTGTCTCTTAATGACGAAAGATTCACCTCAGGGTGCAAGCTTAGGCCTAGAGCACTTTCCTAGCATACACAGGCCCTAGGTTTGAACCCTACCACCACAGGAAGAAAAGAAAAGGTTTGCCCTGTGATGTGTCCAACACTCCTGCACTTCTGAGGAGAAAGGTGCACAGCTGCTGGGAGGGAAGGGGTTGGTGTGTGCCTTGGTGAAGACAGTTGTCAAACTGAATGGCTGGCAAGGACCTGGATGACTGGTGTGGCTGGGAGCATCTTAGGAAATATGTTTACAAGTACTGGCTAAATCTCGCTTTGCCAGAGACTGAGAACTTCTGCTTAAGTGAAAGTCAACATACTGGGCTGGAGATCCCCCAAAGAATTCTCAGCACAAAAACTTGATGCTGGGCCCTGAAACAGCAGACAATGACAACAGATACAGTTTGCCCTTCTGATATGCAAGAATCATGTCCTCAGAGAGTTATAAGCAAGATTCTGAGCTACCCTCCATGCCCAAAAGTTGTCACCCTCTTTGTCTCATGAAATTTAAAAGCCAGTGGAGGGTGGGGCAGGTGGTATAGTGTCTGTGTTCAGCAAGCCTGAGAGTGAGTTCCAACCCTTGTGCTGAGAAGCGCAAAGAATCAGAGACCAGGCGCTGGTGGCTCACCCCTGTAATCCTAGCTACTCAGGAGGCTGAGATCTAAGCATTCTGGTTCAAAGCAGGAAAGTCTGTGAGACTCTTATCTACAATAAACCACCAGAAAACCGGAAGTGGCACTGTGGCTCAAGTAGTAGAGTGCTTGTCTTGAGCTGAAGAGCTGAGGGACAGCACCCAGGCCCAGAGTTCAAGCCCCACAATGGAGAAAGAAAGAAAGAAAGGAAGGAAGAAAGAAAGAAAGAAAGAAAGAAAGAAAGAAAGAAAGAAAGAAAGAAAGAAAGAAAGAAAGAAAGAAAGAAGGAAAGAAAGAAAGAGAGAGAAAGAAAGAAAAATGAAGCAGAAATGAAAGCCAATCAAGATGGGGTCTTGACTGAGAGGCCACACGGACATGCTTAGAATCTCACCAAGCTGGGGGAGTGTTTATGTTTATTCAGTGAGGCCTGGCTTCCTGCCAGCTTGGACGCCCCCAGAGGCAGCTGCCAGTGTCAGGCAGAGGGCAGATTTGTTGGTATTTAAAGGATCGGAGGATTAAAAGGATCAGAAGCTCCCTCCACACACAGCCTGATGGCTGGAAGCCCACTCCTGAGGGTTATTAAATCTGTGGGCACATCCCGGGCACTTGATGACCCTCCCTCTGGAACCCAGCAGGCATGCCAAGCCAGAAGAGAATGAGAGATTGGGGTCAGAGAGGGAGCCTTAATCCTTCAGTGCTGGACGTGGACATGAAGATCAATCTGTAGACCTAATTCATCAGAATTAAGCCCAGGAGCCAGGCTCCTAGATATCCTCAGCTGACCTTGGGCACAGAAGGACATGGGCTTTCTTCTGCTTCAAAAGCAGGAGGATATGGTTTACCCCCTCTGTGATTTGGTAAAGTCAAGCGAGAGAATGAAAGCTGTGATGCAAATGTACTATGCAGTGAGGGGCACAGGTAATAACTGACAGGTGGTCTATGGGCTGCAGGAGCTGACCAAGAAAGGAAGGAAAGCCCAAGTTAAAAACAAAAACAAACACAAACAAAAAACAAACTGGATGCTGGTGGCTCATGCCTGTAATCCTAACTATTCAGAAGCCTGAGATCTGAGGATCACAGTTCAAAGCTAGCCCCCACAGGATAACCCATGAGACTCTTATATCCAATGAACCACCAAAAAACTGGAAGAGGTGCTGTAGCTGAAATGGCAGAGCGCTTGCCTTGAGCTGAAGAGCTGAGAGACAGCACCCAGGCCCAGAGTTCAAGCCCCATGGCTGACAAAAAACCAAAAAAAACTCCAGGACGGGGGTGGTGGGGGACAACAGAATGGAAATAGGCAGAGCTCACACTCTTCAGACCTCATGGAGGGAAGACAGTAGGTCCAGGGAGAGCTCCTGTTCTTCCTTCTTGCATTCTGATATTCTTGCCAATCTTGCCATGCCTCCACACAGCAGCTTTTTTCTGGACACGAGGGGTGGGGGCGGGGGGATCCTGCCTGGCCCTACCTCCAGGGTTCTTGGTCAGTTCCCGTCCACACTTCTCCATCCACTGCAAAGTTCCTCCTCTAGAGTCTTACTTGACCTCAGCCTCAGGGGATCCCCTCACAACAGTCAGTACTTTCTCATCACCCCAAGCCCAAGCCCAGGGCACCTGCAGAGAGGTGACTTTCAAAGCCACAAAGATCAGCAGCCACAACATCCAGCACTGGACTGGGGACCACCCACACCAGGGTCCCGCAGCCTCCTGTCCTAGTCAGGGGTTGGAGGAAATCCTCCAGGGAGCCCAGCACAGACCAAGCCCGTCGTGATCGCACGCGCTGCACGGGACAGGCCCCGCACCACACCGCCGCGGAGGTCACGCACGGGGCCTCCCTGTCCTCCTCTACCGCCCCGCAGCCCCTGGGACTCCATCCACCCTCTCTCCCTCCTCCCTTCTCTTCTGGCCTGAAGCCCCGCCCATCCGAGACCGCGCCCCCAGGAAGCCCCATCCATTCAGGGGACCGTGCAGCCAGAAGGCCCCGCCCACAGCATGGCCCCGCCCATCGGAGACCGCGCAATGGAGGAGCTCCGCCCGCCCCGAGGCCCCGCCCACCCCGCCTGCCCCGGAGCCCCGCCCGCCCCCAGGCCCCGCCCGCGCGCCCGCTCAGCCCGGCCGCTTCTGCTCTCCGTGCGGTCGCGGCGCGGGGTATCCCGGTCCGCCCCCCGACTCGGCGACCGATCGGGCAGCCATGGAGTCCGCGGCACGGAGGCGGCAGCTCCCCGGAGCGGCGGGCGGTCCAGGCGCGCAGCCCGGAGCATTTTTCCTGCAGGCCAGGTGGGCGCTCGCGGCAGGCGGGAGGACGGGGCGCCGGGACGGCGGCGGGCCGCGCGCACCCCACATTCCGGGTCCCCCTTCTTCCCGGGCCAGTTTGGGGTCCTCCTGCCCCCGCCCCGCCAGGTGATCGCGTTGGGATGGCTGCTCCTGCCGGGAAGGCCGTGCCGGGTCCGGGAGACTCGCGGGGCCCGCCCGCCCGAACCCGGGCTCCCCTGCAAGTCCCGGAGCCACTTCCGCGACGCGGGGGTCCCGCGAGCCCCGCGGGCCGGGGCCGCCCCGGGGCGGGGACCGGGATGCGCTCACCTCCCCGTAGCCCGGCGGGAAATCGCCTTTTAATCCTGCCCTCCATTTTTCTTTACATCTCCTTCCCGACCAGAGACGCCGTCGGTGTTAAAAGCACCTCTGAGGTGCCCAGCCTTTCATCAAACCCTCGGGTGGGCGCCAGCCCTGCCCGGGCGAGTAGGGCCAGGGCCCCGGCAGGTGAGCGGTCATCGGGGAGGAGCCCCGAGGCTTCCGCGATTCTGCAAGGGAAGTGAGAAAGCACAGCAAAGCCAGGCGCTGGTGGCTCACGTCTGTCATCCTAGCTTACTCAGGAGGCCGAGATCTGAGGATCGCGGTTCAAAGCCAGCCCGGGCAGGAAAGTCCGTGAGACTCTCATCTCCACTAAACCACCAGAAAACCGGAAGTGGCGCTGTGGCTCAAGTGGTAGAGCGCTAGCCTTGAGCTGAAGAGCTGAGGGACAGCGCCCAGGCCCAGAGTTCAAGCCCCGTGACCGACAAAAAGAAAGAAAGAAAGAACAGCAGGTCCCTCCAGGAAGAGGGCATGGGCCCTGAGACTTTGTCAGTGTTGGAGGATACATCTGTGGAAGAAAGGCCTTTCGTTGCACCAGGGGCTGGGATTGGAACTTAGTCCCAAGCAACATGGGAGAAAGCACCTGGGTAGGCAGCGAGTTGTTGAGCTTCAGGCACCCCCCCACACACAAGTTTTACCCTTGTTCCCACCCTAAATGACAGGCTAAGACTGCAGCCTTTAGTCTCTCCGGGCATTGGTCTCTAGGCACAGGGCAGCCATGTGAGGTTTTTAAGCACAAAGCCCATTTTAGGACCTCTGTGGTATGATTTCGGATGTCAGGAGATGGGCTGAGGTGAGCTCTCTCCTCTTGCTACTGAAGAACTTACATAGACTGCATTGACTGCCTGTTCATATGCAAACAATGATCGAGCAAATACCTTGATTGGAGCGATTACATTCCTGTGGTCATCTCATTCGATTCTTGTCAGGGCCATGGGAATTTGTAGAAGTACACATGAAGATGGTCACCCTAAATGCCCGACAACCTATTTCTCAGAACTGTCCATCATTAGATAGTACATGCCTGTACTGTGCACCTTATTACCCATTTGCTCATCCAAGGCTCACCAAAACCTCTGACTTGATCATTTTATTGATGTGAATAAATGTAGGCTCAGGTGGGTTAAGGAGCTTGGCCAGATTGAGGCCAGGCTGTTCATACTGACTAGAAACATCCGTTGTACTCAGCAGACATCCATTAAGTACCTTTGGTATATCCAGCACTGTGCTAGATGCTAAGAGGGTCGTGATTGTCTTCTGTCATAACTAGCTTCTATATTTTGTTTCTAGATTGATCTTAAATACTGTATACTTAAAGCCAGTATCCAGTGCTTACAATGTTTGAACCTTGTAAACATTGCTCCCCACAGAGGCCAAGTGAGAGTTTACACTTCCTTTTGTTTTTCTTGTAGCTTCTAGTTGCCTTTTTCCTCCTGTCATTATTTGCCTGTCCCTCCTTTTTTTTTTTTTAGTTCTCATCATCTGTAGCATCTCATCATTCCTTATCAGAACCTAAAGCCTTTCTCCATACCCCATCCATACTAGGTGTCTGCTTACTTCTTCTAGGACAAGACTCCTCTTCTGCCCCCTAGATGCTGCTCACATTTTAGTATTTCAGTTGTGTGCATGGTACATGGACCCTCCAGCTGTCAGTTAGGGTGTAAGTTTCCCCATTCTGTAGCCTTGGGAGCTGTGGAGGAAGCATAAGCCAGCCATGTTACCTGCCAACATTTCCCATTCCCGCTTGGCAGAAATTGCTAGTGATTGAGACCTAGGGCTGGCCCAGCTGGGGGCTCTGAAGTCTGTGTAGTCAGGAATTTGCAAAAACCGCTTGAGGTTCTAGCCAGCGGGGCGAGGGGTTGCCTTTACCCTCTGTGTAGTTAGAGTCTCAAAGTTGAGGAGCCAAGAGGGAAGAAGGCCCCAGGCCCTTCCGTGTCCTCCAGTTCCTACCAGGCAGTTTAATTGGAGCGCTCAGATTGGTCCGGCTCAGGATTGTGTCCATCCTACGCCGCACGACTACAGTATGGACATTGAGATGCCTAAACTCTGGGGCTTAGGTTTCAGTCCTGTGCCAGAGTGACCTGGGGCCAATCATCTAACCCCTTGGGGCTGCTTTCTCTTCTACACATTGGGAACATTGCTCCAACCACAGATTTTCTACGAGGATTGGGGGAGGGGGTGTTAAATGAAGGGAGGAGGGTGCTCAGCCTGTGTAAGGCACCGAGTACCAGTAAATAAGGGAATGAACGAATGATGTCCTACTTGTAAACAGCTCACAGTATCAGTACCGTGGCCTACTGTCATCCGTCACCCTGCTACCCACGTTCCAGTGGTGCTGGCATCCTTTGTTTCCCCCTCGTCTTATAGGAAGAAAGCTCAACAATTACTGTACCTCTTTGGCTTCCCAAATCACAGGAAGCTACTACGGTCATGGCAAAATCTACACAGAAATCCTGTACTGCACTGCCTGGCTGGACTCCAGCATTTACAGCAAAACCCTTTCCCTGGGCCTGGGGCATGAGTCTCTTCCTGCCTTCAAGTGGGCAGACCTCTTTGTCTCTCGTCTTGGCAGGTTTCCATGGGGGGAGGAGAGAAGAGCTCACGCCTCGTCTTGTCCCTTCTCAGGCATAGCTCCCTCAAGGCGGATGAGGCTGACCGCACGGCTCCCTTCCACTTTGACCTCTGGTTCTACTTCACACTGCAGAACTGGGTGCTGGACTTTGGCCGCCCCATCGCTATGGTGAGTGAATGGGAAGCTGTGGGCAGGGCCCTGAGCAGCGTTGAGGAGACTTGGTGTGGCTTGAATTTGTCAGCTGAGCTTGCCATTGAGCAAAGAGCGCCGATCGCGATGCTGTCACGTTGTCCAGCTGGGTGCCAGGGCACTTGTGGCATGTGAGGGGATCAAAGGCGGCTGAGTGGTCTCAGATTTATCCCATCATCCTACGGGATAACGTCAGTCTAGAAATGAAGTGTGTTTGCTCATTTTGCATATTTAAATGACTGAGTCCCAGGTAGTTTTGGTTTCAGCTGGCAAAATTATTCTCTTTCCTTAAAGGTCACTTTTTCCTTTTTTTTTTTTTTTTTTCTTCTTTTCGTTCATGGAGTTTGACCTCTGGGCCTGGGTGCTGTCCCTCAGCTCTTCAGCTCAAGGTGAGCTAGAGCCACAGCGCCACTTTGGTTTTCTGGTGTTTAATTGGAGATAGGAGTATCATGGACTTTCCTGCTTGAGCTGTCTTTGAACCACGATCCTCAGATCTCAGCCTCCTGAGTAGCTAGGATTACAGATGTGAGCCACCAGCATCCAGCACATTATTTTATTTTATTATTATTACTTTTTTTTTTTTTTGTCAGTCGTGTGGCCTGAACTCTGGGCCTGGGCGCTGTCCCTCAGCTCTTCAGCTCAAAGCTAGCGCTCTACCACTCGAGCCACAGTGCCACTTCCAGATTTGTCTGCTTATGTGGTACTAAGGAATTGAACCCAGGGCTTCATGCATGCGAGGCAAACACTCTACCACTGAGCCACCTTCCCAGCCCCAGCACACTCTTTTAATTGTTCACATTTAAACGTGTTTATGTAAGAGGGGCTAGCTCCCAGGGCCTGGAGGAGCAGCCTGGTGAGCACGTCCCTCTCTACAGCTCGTGTTCCCGCTCCAGTGGTTCCCTCTCAACAAGCCCAGCGTCGGGGACTACTTCCACATGGCCTACAACATCATCACACCCTTTCTTCTGCTCAAGGTACCATCATGTCCCATCTTTCCTCCTGTCCTCTCCTCCAGCCCCGGTCATTGAGTTAGGCTTTCTCCACAGCCATTGGAGAATCAGGACTATGGGAGAGGAATGTGTCAAAGGGAATAGAGACATCTCCCTTCCCCCCACACAGGAGGAGACCCAGCAGTGTGCCAGCTGGCAAAATGGGAGAAGGCTGTGTATGGGAAACCATAAAGTATCTGTGAGGGCGAGGTAGAAGGGAGTGACTGGGGCATGTCGGGCCAGAGGGAAGGCAGGCTGGGGCCAGCTGATGACGGAAGGAAGGCAGGCTGGGGTTAGGTAACGGAAGGAAAGTCAGCCATGAGGCTGCACTGTAACCCCTGGCCTCACGAGTCCTACTGGGAGGCTAATCTCCTCATGACTTTCAAGTTAAGCCAATGCCGGCCTTAGTTGTTACACTGTGTTGGTTAGGGAATAGGAGACAGTTTTTAAAAAGTTTGCACATGCTCAGTACAGACCTGGATGTGTTCGGGTATCTTGGATCGATGGTTGGCGGGTTGGGGAGCCTGGGCCTGGACTCCTGCATTGATGGATGCTCTGGTGTCACCAGGAGCACATGGCTGTCTGTGTTGATGGATGATAACCTTGCTAGTATTCACCGCTAGGTCCCGAGTCTGATCTCCCCCAGGAGAAGGGCGTACATGCGAACATTTTGAGACCCTGCTGGGCTTGGAGGGTCACACGAGGTGGGGGTGGACTGACCTGCAGAGGATCCACTGCTTCCGGAGGCGGGCAGGCGGTCACACGCTATGGCCTTCTCTGACCCTCAGCTCATTGAGCGGTCCCCCCGCACCCTGCCGCGCTCCGTGGTCTACATCAGCATCATCACCTTCATCATGGGTGCCAGCATCCACCTGGTGGGCGACTCTGTCAACCACCGTCTGCTCTTCAGTGGCTACCAGCACCACCTCTCAGTCCGCGAGAACCCCATCATCAAGAACCTCAAACCGGAGACACTGGTGAGGCTCCCTGGTCTTTCCCACCCCCTCCCCGCACCATGGGTACCCTAAGGGTCGGTCCTGGGGGGCTTGAAGCTGCCCCAGCCTGTCACCGCCACAGCTGACCTTCTGTTGAAAGCTAGGTGAGAATACCTTCACCCTGTTAAGGTAGGATGCTTGTGGATTATCACACCGTACCAGCCAAGGGTCCCCCAGCTGGTGGAGGTCAAGCCTCTGAGTGGGGAAGTAGAGGAAGGGTATCCAGGTATGCTGCTTGGGCCCAGCCCCCCAAAGCAGCTCCCACTAACCCTACCACACCCGTCCTCCCTCAGATTGACTCCTTTGAGCTGCTCTACTACTACGACGAGTACCTGGGCCACTGCCTGTGGTGAGTGAAGGCCCAATCTGTCCATTACCCATCAGGCCACAGCCCTCTGCACATGGCTTCATGTGCTGAGTCGAGTGTCTGGCATGGGGCTCTCATTCCTGAGAGGGTGCTGTGAGCTGGACCCCCTCCACACACACACCGACCCTCTCCCTCCCAGACCACTAGAGGGCAGCAAGAGGCTGTCATCCTACCCTAGCCAAGACTGGAGCCTGGGGTGAACCACTTCCAGAGAGGTGTGTGTGTGGAGGGTGGGGCTGGGGTCCCCCTGGTAGCTAGTACATCTCAGGACTTCCAGAGCATCTCCTTTCCCCAAGCCATCATTCCACCAGGAAGAAACTTCAGAAATAGGAGCTCAGACTAAGGATTCAGGGCCTGAGTGAGGGGGCATCATCTGTGGCTCTCTATCCTGTAAGGGGGACATAAACTGAAGCCAGAGGAAGGAGGTTGATAGAGAATGGCAGGCCAGCCCCAGACAAAGTGCCACCTGTGCCCTGCATTGGTGTGTGTAGAGTCTGTTCAGGGCATGGAAAAGTTGGCTTGAAAGGCTTCCTGCCAGCCTTCCTGGCATTGCGGTGGAAGGTTGGGAGAGAATACGGGAGAGGAGCAGGTAAGGGGTGAGGGTGGGAGGTCAGGTAAGGAAAAGGAGCTGTGTGGGGAGCCAAAGCTGTACTTCCGGATGAAGTGGGGGCTGGCTGTGGGTGAGGGGCTCTACGATGACCTTTGCCCCCTGACAATGCTTGCTCAGCACCAGCCTCATTTCCAGGCCAGTGTGGTGGTGCTAGGTCTGCTGGCATCTGGGGGAAATGTGGGTAAGGAAGAGCCCCACCCCTCCCTTGTCCTCAGAGTGAGGCAGGCAGGCAGAGTGGAAGCCAGTGTTAGCCCTCTTGGAAAGGCTGTGGGGGTGGAGAGTTGCAGCCACTTCAAGGCAGGCATTGTGCAAACTGAGGTCACGCTGGATTGGACAGTGGTGGCGAAGGGCCCTGGGTGAGGGTAGGTGGCAGGGGTCCGGGGGGGGGGGAAGGTAAGGGGGGGGCAGCTGCCTGAGGCTGGATCTCCCTCTCCCAGGTACATCCCCTTCTTCCTCATCCTCTTCATGTACTTCAGCGGCTGTTTCACAGCCTGCAAAGAACAGAGCTTCATGCCGGGGCCTGCCCTGCTGCTGGTGGTGCCCAGTGGCCTGTACTACTGGTGAGTGGACAGCAGCACTGGGGTGGAGCCGGGGGGGGACCAGGGCACTCAGTGAGCCGCCACAGTCAGAACTCACTGGACCACAGACCTGTGGGTAGCCCCGCGTGTGGCCAGCCCTGTGTGAGCCCGTGTCCTCCTGGGTCTCCAGGGGACCGTGTCAGTTCTTTGCAGTGGCCTCTGTTTTATTTAGCAGCCCAGGTCAGAATGGACAGGGAGATGGAGAGGGTAAGGTTGTGGTCTCTGGTCTCGCTCCTCCTCCCACTTTGTGCTCACTACCCAGACTCCCCTGCCACTCTAGGGCCATAGAGCCCATCTATGCAGCCCCCGAGCCTCAGTTTCCCCTCTGTGGAATGGAGACAATTACCTGCCTGATTCCTCAGGAGATGGTGGGGATCTGGGGACGAGGAGGGCCTTTGTGGACCACAAAGCAACATGGAGACCACTAGGACTGGATAGGGGTGGTTTGTTTGGCTCCCTTGCTCCCTCCAGCTGGACTCTCCCTCCTTCCCTGCTTCTGCCCTGCAGACAGGCCGTCTTCAGGAAGGGCCTGAACAGACTTGAGCCCTTCTCAGATGAGGCCCCTCTGGCATGAAAAGGTTCTTCTTTCTCTGGGTCAGTGCTAGCCAGCTTTAGGGGCTTCCCTGCCATTGCAAAGGCCCTCTAGGGTTAGCCTGTGTGTGTCTCCCCCCCCCCCAGCCCCAGGACAGAGTTGGGGGAATGGGAGGAGGAGGGAGAAGTTGTTTACTCCCCAGGAAAGCAGCTGAACCAGGCAGGAGCTATCTGCAGGGCCCACAGCCATCTGCTAAACAGCAGCCCTTCCCAAGGAAGAGATGCCCAACTGCGCATGCCTGGAACCTCCAGAGACAGAGCCTTTACACTCCCTTTCCAAGGGAGAAAACAGGCTCCACATGAATTTCCTCATGCTCATAGGCCCCCAAGTTGCAGAGCTGTAGTTTCTTGAGTGGATAGATTGGTGTCACAGTTGTCATGGGGATGAGCAGGTCATCCCCGTTCCCCCTCCCCCCCCCACAGCAAGTGCTGTGTGTTCTCTGGACCACCGCCAGGTCTCTTGGAGATAGGATGGTGTCCCAATCTCTGAGGGCCAGTGATAACTATCCCTGAAAACTGTAACTGCATTTCCAAGCTCCCAGCCCCACAGAAACCAAGCTGGAAACAAAAGTGGGGACTTGTGACAGTGACAGACAGTACTCTCCACTGTTAGGGCTTTTGTCCCTCAGTTGCTGTCATGTGGAGGTAAGCTCATGTGACAAGGGAAACCACTGCCAAATGCTCTGTGGTGTGTGTGTGTTTTTTTTTTTAATATTGTTATTTAAATCCTGACAACTGGCCAGGCATGGTGGTGCACACCTGTAATCCCACTTTGGAGATAAAGGCAAAAGGATCTGGAGTTGGAAGCCAGCCCAGGCAAGTCTCAAGATCATAGCTCAAACCAAAACACAAAAGGGCTTGGGGTGAAGCACAGGTATCAGCCTATGCCACTTATGTGCATATGAGTTCAGTCCTGGGTTCCACATAAATGAACACATACTATATACATACATCCCCAGTAGCAAAGGATGGGACACACAAACCCCTGCGTGCTTGTAAGCAAATGCATCAAGCCAAAGTGGGCTGCAGCAGAGCGGCCTGACGCACGGGGCCTGGATGCCAGGTGAGCAGTTCTGGGCTGCCTGGTGTCTGAACCCCTACGCAGGGTAGGGTTGGGGTGGCACCCGCCTTTCCTTGACACTGTGACCTGCTTCTCCAGGTACCTGGTCACCGAGGGGCAGATCTTCATCCTGTTCATCTTCACCTTTTTCGCCATGCTAGCACTCGTCCTACACCAAAAGCGCAGGTGCCTTTTCCTGGACAGCAACGGCTTTTTCCTCCTCTACTCCTTCACCTTCACCCTCTCGCTGGTGGTGATCTGGGTGGCCTGGCTGTGGAATGACCCTGTACTCAGGAAGAAGTACCCGGGAGTCATCTATGTCCCCGAACCCTGGGCCTTCTATACTCTCCATGTCAGCAGTCGGCCCTGAGTCCCCAAACCATCCTCTACTCCCTTAGGAGAGATGGATCATGGGGCATCTGAACACAGGTGTGTGTGTGTGTGTGTGTGTGTGTGTGTGCGTGCGCGCACGCCCATGCCCGTGAGTATGTAAGACATGAGGATGGAGCAGGCTGTGTGTGTACAGAGTGCATTACTGACAGACTGAGCAGTGTGGGTCAGGATTCTCCTTGATTTAGATCTTTTTGGGATGGAATTTAGTTTGGGAAGTGTGTCCAGGCCAGGATCCTGGCCTTTACCTGTTGTTGGGACTCCTGACCCCACTCCTATTGCTCAAGCCTGGGCTGGCTCTTATAGGAAGTCTCAGCCATGCAGGAGAGACCAGACTGTGCAAAAGCACGGGGCCACTGGTGTACCGCTTGGCCAGCATCTGGCCACCTGGTCCGGGCCACTATGTTTGTATACTATGTCATCTTTCTCTGGATTATTGAGGAGAACACATCCTCTCAGGGCCTCATTTGCACTGCATGGGCCCAGTGGGTTGAGGTTACTCACCGTCTTAGCTCTATCAAGTCGCTACCCTCTCCCAGCCTGAAAGGGTCATGAGCATACCTGGCCCTCACCTGGCCAGCATTGAGCCACCAGACCTCTGGGTGCCTGAAGCCCAGCTCTCCCATGCTACACCATCCTACTGGTGGTGGTGGTGGTGTTCACTCTGCACTGTCCCTCCCCAACTCTGAAGGATTGTGGCACCACTTGGTGCCAGCCAGATGTGGAGTATTGGCCTACAGGTCTCAAACCTTTGCCTCATTCCTTGAGCCCCGTTATAGGGGCTGACAGCTCTGGGCTCCTGCCAGTCTTGCCTGTCTTAGCCTTCATCTCTTTCTGCCAGGGCCCCTGCTCTCAGTGGAGTGGGCCCCTCCCAGCTCCCTTCTCTCCCAGGCCTCTGGTCCAGTGGTTTTCCTTGAAAGCAGGTAGCCTCATGTTGAGCCAGCCCTGGTCATGGCGCTGTGGGCTGCAGCCCTTCCCCTCATGATCTCGGGGAGGTCCGGGCTGAGGCTCTCTGTTGTGCTGGGGTCCTTCTGCTGGCAGGCAGCTTTGGGTGATGAGAAGTGTGAATAAAGGCTGGTGTTATGTGGAGCCCAGCCTGCCTGGCGTCCTTTCTGGCTTGGTTGTGAGATGGGGAGGCAGGGGGAATTGTGGAGAGGGTTGGGAGCTCACTGGCCTGGGCCCCAGCTGGGGCCCCTCTAGCAGCACAACCTTGGGGGGGACCCCCAAGGGTCCTCTCAATCCTGGTCTGTCCACTAGCCCTGCATGCCACTCAGCAGGGTCCTGGAGGTGGGGCTGAAGGGGACTTTTCTTCCCAGTCAATCCAAGTCTTAGTGGATCAGGGCAGGACAGGTCACTGGTAAACCTGTATCCAGAGATGTCCTATGGCCTTCCAGCTGTACTGCCCCTTGGGAGGAGGTGGCCTCTGGCCTTATGCATGTCAGCTGACTAATTGGAGCGGACTGTAGGACAAGACTGGGAGGTGCTCAGTCTCCATGTCTGCTCAGCACGCTCTTCCCCTACCTCTAGGACAAGCTGCTCCCAAGGCTGTTTACAGTGGGTCTTAACCCTTACAATCAAGGTCTGAGGATTATGCATCTTAGAAAACCATCGATAAGAAAAAACAGCTTTAGGGGCTGGGAAGGTGGCTCAGTGGTAGAGCGCTTGCCTTGCATGCATGAGGCCCTGGGTTCGATTCCTCAGCACCACATAAGCAGAAAAAGCCAGAAGTGGCGCTGTGGCTCAAGTGGTAGAGTGCTAGCCTTGAGCTGAAGAGCTGAGGGACAGCACCCAGGCCCAGAGTTCAAGCCTTACAACTGACCCCCCCCAAAAAAGTGAGTAAAACATGAGGTATGAAAAATGAATATTAAGAAGAGGAAATTGCAATTGGGGCCTTGGAGATTAGGTCCTGTGGGGCAGGTTCTTGGGAGTTTTTCCCATTGTCTTCACTGCAGCCTGGCTTCACTAGCCTAGAAACCCAGCAGACATCCAAGAAACTTACAATGTTGGGGAGGGTGGGTGGCAGGAGAAGATGCCCCCATTGGGGTGTGGCTTAAGTAGTAAAGAGCTTTCCTAACATGCTTAACTGGGTAGTGATGGCTCAGGCCTCTAATCTTAGCTACCCAGGAGGCTGAGATCTGAGGATTGGGATACAAAGCTAACCCCAGGCAGAAAAGTCCCTGTGAGACTCATATCTCCAATTAACCACTCCAAAACCGGAAGTGGAGCTGGGCTCAAAGCGGTAGAGCGTTAGCCTTGAGCGAAAGAGCTCAGGGACAGCACCCAGGCCCCCAGTTCAAGCCCCACTACTGAAGGAGAATTTAAAAAGAGATGAAGCCTTGGGTGATGTGGCTGTGGGCTCCATTTTGGGAGCTCCGGCCCTGGTTAATTCCAGGTCCAGGGTGCGCGCAGGCTATCTGTGTGATTCCCACGTCTCTGTGACCAGGGGTTTGTTTGGTTCTTGTATGCATTCCTTAAAGCTGCCTTGACAAACTACTACACACTTGGTTGGTAGCTTGAAACAATGCAAGTTCCTCCTCTTCCAGAGGTTCCAAGTTCAGGATCAAAATATTGGCAGAGGCCTAACACCCATGTGCTTGCCCCTGTGCTCAGGAGGCTGAGATCTGAGAAAGCTAACTCAGGCAGGAGAGTCTGTGAGACTTATCTTCACTTGACCCCCAATAAGCTAGAGGTGGAGCTGGGAAGGTGGCTTAGTGGTAGAGTGTTTGCCTTCATGCATGAGGCCCTGGGTTCGATTCCTCAGCACCACAAAAGCAGAAAAAGCTGGAAGTGGTGCTGTGGCTCAAGTGGTAAGAGTGCTAACCTTGAGCTGAAGAGCTGAAGGACAGCACCCAGGCCCAGAGTTCAGGCCCCATGACTGACAAAAAAAAGCTAGAGGTGGAGATGTGGCTCAAGTGGTAGCCAAGCACCAGCCCTTGAACAAAAAAGCTAAGGGACAGCACCCAGTCTCTGAGTTCAAGCCTCAGTACTAGCATGCATCCATTGGCATAGTCCAAGGTGGAGCATGGGCCATCAGCGCCTGGGCTCCGTCTCTGCTTGGGTGGCCAGCACTTGGCTTCTTGTAGCTGTGTCTGAACTCCTCTTCATCGGGAGGACCACCCAACTCCAGTGTGAGCTCTTGATTCTGTCGCAAGGACCCTGTTTCCATGTAAGGTTATGTGACTACTTCCACATAAGGTTCCAGGAGATCTGAGTTCTGGGGCTACAGCCCCCTCCAGGAGAGCCAGCCCTGCACTCACGCCTGAGGTCTCTGCTGGGGTCCAGGACGGGGAAACAGAAACAGATGGCCCTCTGAGGCCACCTCTGTGGCCTGTGGGCACAGTAGAAGGCTGTCAGGGCTCAGACTTGTGGGGGCTTAGCCTGATGGTGCCCAGGAACATAGCAGGGGCTGCCTGCATTTCTAGGGAAGAAGGATCGTAGAGCTCTTCCATCAAAGCTCTGCTTGAGGGCCTTGTCCAGTGGGCTGGGGTGGGGGGTAAAGGGGGTGGGAAATCTTCCTACCCAAGGCCCCTCCCCTGGGGTCCAGACCGGGGTGCAGGAGGGAAGGGACTCAGAGGAGGGCAGTGGAGATGCCAGCCCCCAGCCAACAGCATCTGGGGTTCAGGACTACAGAGAACATGATCGGGAAAATGGGGGGGGGTGATGGAAGGGGTGAACTGATCACAATGCAGTGCGCTCCTAGCCTGACTTCTGGAATGGAAACTCCTTTGTACAATGGCTTCATAAAAATAAATGTTTTTAAAAGAAGAGAACAAACAGCCCCCAGGATGTGTTTTACCTACCCTTGGCCCTTCCCATGGATGATTTGGGGTGAGCCCCCAGTGCTGCACATGGCTCGCTGAGGACCGAAGCCTGGATCAGGTGCCTCTCAGGAAGTGGGGAGGAAGAAGAGCCTCCACTGCGAGCCTCTTCGGAGGCTGAGGCCTCCCAGGCCAGCTCCGGAATTGCCTACTCTGGGATGGGACTCAGCATCAAATGTGGAAGGGTGGGGAAGAAAAGTGAGGTGCTTCGGGTCAGGTAGGTGTGGAGGGTCACCCAGAGGCCTCACCCCAATAGCAGCTGTGGGTCTGGAAGTCCAGCCTTGCCGTCCCAGATTCCCACAGGGAGAATGGGCTGGGTGCAGTCGATTTGATTCTCCCAGCAGCTCTGCATGGGGCCTGGTAGAGAAACTGAAGCCCTGCAAGGTGAAACCTACAGGAAGGACTTGAAACCCTGTTCTGAGCTGCCTTGTGCTGGATGGGCTCCATCATCAGTGCGATCATGGGCCGTGAGTTTGTGCGTGCCCAGCTCCAGCCTAGCCCCAGGAGCAGGGCCCCCTGTCCAGGCTCTGGACAAGGATGTGGACCCAGTCTGGAAGGGCTCTGCTGTGGTCCAATTCCCACACAAGTCCACCTGTCCAGTCCCCTTGGAATCGCCAGTTTCTGAGCCTCCGCCAGTCCTCTCCCCCCCCCCCCCCAGTCCTCCACAGTCGGAAGCTGGAACCTGACCCAGGGCGGCATCGAGCTCCGTCTCCATGGCAGCGAGGATTTATTACTGGGGCCTCACCCGGAGGACTTTGCACTGGCAGCCAGAGGAAGCAGCTGGGTCTTCCTGGTTCTGAAGCAGCGGGTGCCCCACCATGGTGAGTGAGCCAGGGCCCACCGGGCGGGGAGACCTCTGGTGACGCCATCCCTGACTCTTCTCTCTCTGCTGCAGGCCAAGTTCCTTTCCCAGGATCAAATTAATGGTAGGTTGCGTTCACTCTTTAATTAGCAACTCCCAACAAAATGTGGGTCTCAGTTAGGCCATCTGATGTGCTCCGTGTCCCTGGTGGAAGGAGGGAGGTGGGTGAGAGGTGTCCCCTCCCCCACCATGCTGCTGGAGGCCCGTGCTGACCTAGTGAATATCCACGGTGCGGCCACCCACTTTGTGTTGTCAGCCCTCTGGCTGGGCCAAGACTGCTCACAGGGCAGCCCCAGAGGCGGTAGCTAAACAGGAAGAGGCTAGGGCAGGAGACAGATGAGTAAATGTAATGGTTGGAGGTAAGGGAAACAGGGAGAGTCTGTCTTTGAACTGGATTCATTTCTCTGGGCCTCAGTTTCCCCATCAAAGTAAAGGGCCGCTGGGGGTCCCTCCTGTTGAGTTTGAGGGTGAGCACTTTGGAGGTTTCACTTTCTTCAGAGCAGAGCTGTGGTTTCACAAGCCAGGAAAGGGGTGGAGTTACACAGAACTCAGGCCGGAGACCCGACCCCCACCCCGGCAGAGACGGCAGAGAGCTCTGAGTCCAGAGCCTTCTGGAGCTCCTTGGGCTGCCCAGCAGTTGACAGTGGAGCAGATGGGCCATTCCCTGCTGCACCGCTGTGGGATGGCATCTGGCCACCATCTCCCTGGCTACTGGAGATAAAATGGCAGCCACCTGGGGCCCACGGAGCCCTTGCAATCCAGGGCAGCTCCCTGGAAGGAACTATGGGTGGCCTGAGCTGGGATTCCAAGTCAAGGGTTTGTTGGGTTCCGTCTAGCAGAGTGGTGAGGTATTGTGACCCCCCATGGACTCAAGCCAAGGCCAGAGGGGGTGGGCCAGGGGACGTGAACGCACTGGGACCCATGCAGACAAGCCTCTCTTGCCCTGATCTGGAGGTGACTGACTAAAGGGAGGACTTGGGGTTCTCCACCCAAGTTTGGATATGAGGCAATTAGAGGTCTGGACAGCAATGGGGAACAACAGGGTGTCTGGTGGCGGTGACTTTCCCCTGTGTCTGTGTCCCCATGTGTGGGGTAGGGAGAATGACCCCCTCACCAGGCCTTGCAGGAGAGGGCTGGGAAAGCATACTTTGTGTGCTGGACACGGGTAAG